GGCTCGAGTGAACATCTGTTGGCCAGTGACGTCTTGTAGTGTTATCAAGTATCAATTACGGACTAGGGACAAACAGTGCAGCATGCACGGAACCTATACGATTTCCCAAGCGAATCGGGCAGAAGGAATTGCAACTCGTTACAATATCAATGGCCATCCCTGGATATATAAACGTATACCCTTCACCAATTAGAAGATATGAAATATAAATACCCGGCTTCTTTTTCTTGGAAAATGAAACTCTAATCGTGTGGTGAAGCAGATTCAGAATATTTCGAGATTGGGCGCTATCAGTTCCCATCAATCAAGATCGACCAGCACCCATTATGGCGATCTTGGTGTGGTCCACGTCAAACCTGTCCAAACCGATGGCAATCTCAAGTGTGGTATACATCACACCCGCCCAAGCAGATTTCACCCACGATTTATCGAGTCTGCGAGGTATTATGCGATCATGAGGTAAATGACCCATGATCATGACCCGCCAGTGGCGTAAACAGCCGACCAAAGAGCCAGCGATACCCGGGAATTCGAGGTAGTTACAGAAGGCGTTCAAGAGCCACAGCTTTTGACACAGGACGAGGCTAACCCATTATACAGTGTTAGTTTTACTTCTTACTTAGCAAGTATTCTTCGTCTTCGCTATTCCGGGCACGAAATTGACTTTGGCCCACCTGACGACGCGCTACAGACGTGCCTACGCACGATTGAAGTTCGAGCACCTGGATTGCTTGCCCACGACGCTCGACAAATACCAACCGCCAAAGGAAGCGGCAAGCTGATAAAGGAAGAAAGGAAGGAAGGCGATTAGCCGACCGTACGATACCCCAGTATGCTTGTATTACAAGACTGTGTGCTATTTACAGCTTTTTTTCAGCGTTCTATCGCTATTTTATGCATTTAGCTGTTAGAATGTACACTCGAAAGTTCCTATTACCATGTTTAACGCACGTACTGACTGATCTAATTGAAGCTGAGCAACACTTCAACTGAGAACGGCGTCTGTTTGCTTCGCATCGCCTATGAAGTAACTAGTTTTATGTTTAGACATGCCTATGCGGAAAAAGCATTGAATGTGGCGTACAAGAATTTGAAATAGATATAAATACCTATGAGAATAAACATTTTAACCAGCAGGAGACAACACACAAGACAAGTAAATACAGGAGATTCATTTTGATATTTTAATAGAATAATACTTCTTCCTCTTGGTATCTTCGGGTCCGAAAAATGCAAATTTAAAGTAATATAAACTTGGCTATATTCCAGATCCTGTTTGGGAGCATGGTGACTTTGTCCATACATAGTGTTCCCTTTAAAACTTATATAAAATGTCACAGATTAAAGTTTAATCACAGTGAATTGAATTGTTTGGTGAGACCACTTTTGGTCTCATCAAACAATTCTTGTGTTTTCCGACTTTTAAGTAGCAACATCGTCAAACACATGACTGAGCTTCACTATGGCCGATGACCGCATTCCAGCAACCAGTTTGATGCGCATTAAACCGCTGTGTAATTTAAAAATAAATTACCTATCTAACCGATGAATCGTGTTTTGGTTTAGAAAGCACCCATAGGAGTATTAATTGTTTATTTATTTTAATCTCTGGAGAAGTGTTATCCATCATTGTTTACTCAGATTAGTGTCAGCAGAAATGGTGATCGGACATTGTTTACTCCAGCATCAGTAATCTATCATTGTTTACTCCAGCATCGGTAATCTATCATTGTTTACTCGGACACCATTCAGAGAAATTTTGGCGAGGCGTTGTCTAAGCTTCTACCTTGAGTATCGAATACAATCACTGACTCTGTACCCGAGGGATCGAGCTGACTGTATAGTAAGAGCGGTGCTACCATAGGATTGACACTTTGATACTATGCATAAATCTACTGACATCGGCTGCCAATGACAAGATGTCATCCCTCCCGAAATTAATTTTCGATCCTGATCACTCCGTTGCCCCATCGCCCCTTAATCAAAAAAAAAAAAAAATAAGAATCAGCTAACTTACGATATACCAAGTAGTACTTGGTATTGTAAGTTCTACTCAAAATTTCCATGGGCGGGTCTTTGAACAACCCCCCAAAATCGCCCAACGTATACAATTCCGTATACTGACCCGTTTAAGTACGAAATAACATCATGGCATGTGGCAAGACTTGGTGGGTTCTACTAATGATTTGGATTTGTATGTGGGCGATTGTGCTCCCGTTTCTCAAACAGACCGATATCGGCAAATTTGGACGGAATTCACAATACATAGAAACTGTTAGCTGTTAGAAGGTCGGCTGCAAGGAAAAAGAACCACGTTTTTATTGGTAATAGAAAATATTCGGAGCCGTACTAATCCCAAGTCGCGAATCGCGGACCGGGATTTGACCTTTTTTTTTTTTT